GGGGGGTTGAGACAGTTAAATTGACTGGAAATTTCTGAGTAAAAAGGTGCTTCTATTTGTATTCATTTATGTATGTGAGCGTGCACACGTACCTACACCTACATTTATGTGTATATGTGTGTGATATTTACATGTAATGTCTATTATATGTTCATAGTAGTTTGTGTGTGCTTACCTGCATTTTATGAGGTGTGTGTATACATGTATGTATGTACATCACAATATGTTATATATATGGATTATCTAAAAGCATATGTGTGTATGTGGATAACCATGTAGACACGTATATGTATGTGTGTGCATAAGCATTGTATACATGGATGTATTGTTATTTGTGTATATACATGTATACACATTTGCAAATATATGTTCCATTATGTATTATACATTTATTTGCAAATATATGTTCCATTACGTGCCGTTCTTTCAACAAATACTTGTTATGTGCTAACATCATTGTAGGAACTGGAGGTACGTCACAGAAAGGCACATTGTCCCTGACTCATGGAGCTTACATTCTGTTCTAACATGTGCATGTGAATGTATGTATACTTAGATTAATTATATACGTGTGTGTTTACAGGATTACATGCACATGATTGTGTAACTCTGTCTACACATGTGAGGGGCAGACAAGCTTAAGCACTCTTCTGGTGGACTTGGAGATTTACTGAACTCTTTTTTGCTCAAAATTTCAGGTCCTATCACCTAGGACTCTATTCTAAGTGTGCAGACAGCTTAAGGCAGAGGGAAATAGGCTGGAGACACAGGCCCATCACCTCCTGGGATATATTTTGGTCACTTCCTCAGCCCTGTAAATGACTAGATTCTTTCTAAAAGGGTGAACAGTTCTGGAAATCCACTCTGGGTAATGAGATGTTAATGAAGCTCAACTCTCACCTCTCAAAGCAAAGCACCTTGGGAGGAAAGTTTGAAGATTGGGATGGGCGGGAATGGAGTCTGGGAAGGTGGCGGTAGGAAGGAGTTCTCTGAGGGCAGTGGTTGGGGCATGTAGAGAGTAGAAGGGATCTGATCTGGAAGGTTGTGATGGGAGCTCTGGGAGTCAGTTGCAGATAATGGAGGGTGTTTTGAGAACTCTGGGAGGGACGGGCTGGTGGACAGAGATGGGGCCCAATGGGAGTAATGAGGTTAGGATTAGGGATGGAGTTGGAGGGGTCCAGATATAGCGGCTCTGGTGGCAGTCTCGGGGTGGAACCTGGAGGCCAGCTCAGATGGAGTCATCCCTGCATTTCTCCCCACTCTCCCTTCTCCATTCTGGGGCCCCTAATGTTCTCTAGTCCTCTCTCTGCTCAAGCTGGGTCCCAGATATGCTGGTGGCAGAGAAGAGTGGAGGCCGTGGGGCTTGGCCTGGCTCAGGTGACTCACTGGTAGGCGAGGTGAGGCACGGATCCCAACACCGCCGGACCATGAAGCCTCATCCCAACTGCCTGGGTCATTGCCCGCCGCTTTGCCATTACCGCTTTCAGTTTGGGCTCAGCGCAGGGGGTTCAAACAAGGGTGAGGCCTGGACCTGGGAAAGGTCACAGATCCCCCTCCCCACATACACCCACACATTCCTGGGACTGAATTGGGAAAGGTGCTTCTGAATGATTTCTTCCTTCTTTCCCTCCTTTGCTAGATGTTTTCCAGATGCAGTCAAGGCCAGAAGCCTTCAGGTGCCCCTTGGTCTGTGGCAACACCTCAAGCCCAACTATTCCCCCTAAAACCAGGGCTTCTGTCCCTTCGTTGCCTCTCTTTCCTTCCTTCAGTCTCTCTTTTCTTCCCAGGGTTGAGATCTTAGATCCCTGGTGTGTACAGGGGGAGGGGCTGAAGACAGAGGCTGGCTTTATTTATTTATAAATCCCGGC